CTACAAGGTCTTCCACACGATCAAGTTATGCAAATAGTTACAGTTGGCAGGAACCAAGCAGTTAGTATACTTGTAGCTATAATTCAAAGCAGATTAGGAGCACCCTTCAATAATATTCGCCTAAAAATTCGTCAAGTTTACCCCGATGAGGCGACTATGCAACCGCAGGATCCAATTTCCACTTTTTTTAATGAACAGCCACGAACAGACTATTTCCATATCGTCGCTCAGCCCCTCTCAGGCTCAGAATAATCTTATATATAATGATATGTAATAGTTTTTATGTATTGTAGGCCGACTTCTGACAATATTTTTATTATATAAATAAAGTATTATTATCTTATCAGTATATGAGAAATGGGTCACGTGTAATGGTGTGATCCATGTAATATCAGGACTAGCCATAAAGGCACTTCGCATAAATCTAACATTTTTATCTAGCCTATATAAAGAACGTCAGGTGATAAGTGAGAAGAGTCTTCACGATTAGGGAGGCGCAGTGATTAGGTGATCGTTGCACCTATGATGCAATGTGGCTGATCGGTCTCTTGTGAAACAGAACAATTTCTCACATATAGTCTGTCTCAGTATTTTTTTCGCAAATAAAATTCTTTTTTATTCTTGTCCTCACATACGCTAGTTTGCACCAATAATATTTCACAAAAAATACTATATAAGCCGAAAACATGTCTATCACTTTATTCTGTCTCGTCAAAGGAAATACAACTGCGAGCGCTTTCGAAGTTGATATTGAGAAGGACAAGTCTATTAGCAAGCTCAAGGAGGCTATAAAGGCAAAAAACCCGCAAACTTTCGCTAATGTTGACGCTAAAGACCTGAAACTATGGAAGGTTCCAATCTTTGACGATCACGACGATCAGTTGCGGAATCTTACACTCGAGGACAGTGATGAGCTGTTAGCAATAAACGAAATTGGAGAATACTGGACCGAGAAACCGCCCAAGAAGCGTATTCATGTCTTAGTCGAGCCACCAGAGTCCACCGCCACTTCGAGCCGAGAGCAGGAATTACTTGACCAAGTCACTTCGTTGCAGGCATTACTCAACAAGTCCACACATAGTATGTATAAAATAGTTGGAAGAGAGACTTTGTGGGAATTTTCTAACTGACCGTTACATTGTAGACTTCGACGTCGTTGTTCACCTGAAACGGAAGCCAAATAAGTGGACTGCAAATATCGAACATGCGACCCTCGAAGGCCTCAAGGAGTATATACGCAAGATGTATCAACCACCCGCACTTGAAAATGATGGGGCGGAACTCAACCTAATGAATGATGGAGACAAATATTCACCTCGGAATGATCAAGACCTTCGTGAAATCCTCCGCATATTCGTGTCAAACAAAAAACTCAAGTTTACTGTATTCATCGAGACGCCATCAAAACCTTTCTCGGATTGGTCGTTTCCAAAAGTGTGTCAGCTTTATGGTATTAGCAATGATCCGAATCCCGACATTGACGTGTTCCCTCCCTTTTCATGTGGTTCTGCAGACCTAAATAGTAATAAGTCCAAAGCTGTGATTAAGCACCTAATGGCGGAAATAAAACTTCGTAAGATGTTACTCCTCTCAACAAGGCAAATGAGGCAACGAAAAGTATCTATTCTTACTGCTACCTCGCTTCCGGGGTC